ACTGGGCCAGGAGCCTAGCACTTCTAAGTCCCAGGAGGGCAGAGTCAGGTCACCAGGGTCCCTAAGCCAGGTTCTGCCTCCAGGATACTCACCTGCCCAGACCTGTGAGCACTGTCCCTTCCTCTTTGATCCGGAGAGGGGGGCGGGCCTCCTTGGGCAGCTGTGGCCAGCTGTGAAGGGGAGGAGGGGGGATGGGCAAAGGAAAAGGGAGAGGGAGGAAGGGTGACCCCCCTGCTCACAGTAACCTGAGTCTGGTTACTGGCTGAGGGGCGGGGCTTACTATTTACCTGTCCAGGGCGGTACTCAGGAAAGCGACAATGTACTTAAAGGGACCTTCGGACGAAATGCCTAATGTCAAGAACCCTAGAGAGAAAACGGGGTCCCTGGCGCCTTTGGAGCACCTAAGGGGATTGCATAAGCGCCCCCGCCCCCTTTCTGCCCTCTCACCGTCCAATTGCCTGGCCGAGCAAGAAATAAAATATTCAGGTTATGTTATTTTTTTTATTAAGAGTATTATTTTAGGTATCTAGAGACTGACGGGAACTGAGTGGCCTGGTCCCTGGGGATAGCTGGGCGGTGCCGTACTAAATTCCTGTTTTCTGGGTGTGATTTGAATGGCGTTGACGTCTGCGTTTCTCAATGACGCCGTCTACAAACTGGGAGTAAGGACATATTTCCCCTTCAATTGCCCCTTCAGATGCAGCAAAAACATTAACAAGTGGATGATATATACATATAGATGTAGGAAAGTGGGCTGCCCAATCTCTGAGGAGACCTGCAATTCCTTAAACTCGGGTTTGGAACAAACAGGAAATCGCCCGCCCAGTAAAACGCGTACTACTACTGCTGAAAGGTGTCTCGAATACTAATAAACGCGGGCTTTTGGTACCGACCGGAACCATGTGAGTTGGCGCTCACGTTTCCGGAGGGAGGAAAAGAAGAAGAGAGGACTTACCTAACCAGATGAAGTACCTCCGCCACTAGGGGCGAGTTCACTTCCGGAAGCTTCTGCCTGGCGGAAGTAGGCGGGGCGGAGGAGAGGGAAATCGCGCTCCTTTCCGGTGGTTGGGCACAGTCGGAGAAGCGACAAAGGGACGTACGGGCGGTTGTGAGGTGAGTTCCCGATGCTGATGGGATAGTCTTGCTGGGATTGCCTTCCTCGGGCTAGGGTCCTCCGGTCCTGCTGGAGACCGGGATTGCTATTAATGAACGATCATTAATAGAGCGTTCCCGGCGTCGCAAGTTCGACAAACAACTACACCTCCCAGCATGCCCTGAAGGTAGACGGGCTCAAGCGGGCCGGTCCTAATCGAAATGTATTATGGGAGTTGTAGTTCGGTGTGAAAAAAATGGCAACGGGCCGGGGAAAGAGGGCAGTGGGCTTCCCAGGGCTTCAAGGATTGCCCGTTGAGGAAGAACTCCTTTCTTGGTCACAGTTTTCCAGACTGTGATGGGGCCGGCAGGCGATTCAGGAGGAGGGCTGGACTGTGTAGTGCCCCCCACCCCCACCCCTCACGTCCTGATAGTGCTGTAGGTCGGTCGTTGTGAACTTGAGGGATGCTCTCGGTGCATGCCGTCTTCTTTATTGTAATGCTTCTGGCGCCGTAGCATTGACGCTGATGGTTGGAACTCACCAGCCACTTCTCAGGAGAAAGAGGTGGCAGTCGGCTTCCATCACAGCCCCTGGAAACCCGATCAGGGTCGCTATAGTGCAATGTGGGTGCGGTATAGCATGAAAATGTTCAAGCATCCCATGCTACCAGAGAACTTGCTAACTGCAGGATGGGTGAAGCAAACCCACCAAGCGGCTTCGTGGGAGGAAGATGAGGCTGCCTGCTCCCGTAAAGGTTTACACTCCCAGAAGCCCTTAAGCAGGTAGCTGTCAGAGTCATCTCCATGGCAGTGGATTTGGAATCTCTATGGAAACCAGTGCTGCTGGTGCGGGAGGTAACGCACCCGACAGGGTGACTGGGAGAAGCATGTGGCAAGTCTGCCTCTCTGATGACAACCGCTTAGGAAAACCCTGAGGGGCTGTTCTACTCTGTCCTTAGAGAGTCACCGTCACTTCGAGTGGACTGGGCAGTGGGTTGGTTTGGGAGTCTTCTCAGGAGCCAGGTCTTCCTCCCACAGAGTGGCGGGTGGGTTCAGAGGGAGCACCTTTTGGTTAGCAGCTTACCTGTTTGTGCCCCCAGCGCCCCTTTCCCAGCGCTCAGACTTACAGACTGTCTGCTTCCCCACACTAGCTGAATCCTGTTTTTAAACAAACACTGAAGCATATGAAAGGCTTTCCAACCTTTGGCACTTCACTGTTAAAAATGTGAGGATGCTTGTGTCAAAAAAAAAGGGGGGGGGGAGGCGGGGGAGGTTTCCTTACACAGGAGACCCTGGGTGAGACAAATGGTTAAGGTGTAGGTTACTAACCCAAAAGGTTGGGAGTTTGAATCCATCCCTTAAGCACATGGGGGAGAAAGAAGAAAAAAAAAGACCTTTTTTGGCTGAAAGATCACAGTCATTGAATAATGCAGAATGCGGTTCTACCCGGACACACGTGAGTTGCACTCGACCACAACTGATGGGGGTTTTTCTGACACAACCCTAGTTCCACGATCATACTTTACTGAAACACTGAGTTCCAGGGCCTCAGGGAGGGGGCTTGTACTTCTGTGTCTGCGGGAAGAGAGGACTGCACCCCATCAAACACAGCCACAACCCAACCCAATAGTGTCCTTGATGATGCTTCTCATAGCAACCCAGTGGTACCCTTGATGATGCTTCTCATAGCAACCCAGTGGTACCCTTGATGCTTCTCATAGCAACCCAATGGTGTCCTTGATGATGCTTCTCATAG